CTATTACATGTAATTAGACATATTTACAATATTTTTTTGTGTAAGAAAATATATTTTTGTAATAGCTGTGCGGATGAAAATCAATTTGTCAGCATATAAAGCAACTTATTGAAATATTTGAAGCTCTACTTGTTTCTCCCCACACAAGTTATATAAAGTTGGATTTTTAGAACGGATTTTGTGGAGGTGCAGTGGCCTCGTGGTTAGTGCGCTCGTCTCCAGATCGAGCGGTCTGGGTTCGAGCCGTGGCCGGGTGTTCTTGGGTAAGACACGTAACTCACAGTGCCTCTCTCCACCCAGGTGTATAAATGGGCACCGGCAATCTTAATGCTGGGGAAGTAGAAATACTCCTTGTCGTTTCATGCTACAGAAACCGAAGGGCCGGCCTGATGGGCACTTGGCTATATGCACCCTTTTTTACAGACTTTCTTATGCATACGTTCTTTTTTTTTTTATTTGAATAACGCGCGTGTAAACGGGCCCAAACCAAAACAACTACTCAGCTAATCTCAATCCGTAGTAAAACCAAAGTAATTGCCTGATTAGTTTCGACACTATTGAAAACCGCTATTCTGCACCCTGTGATTGGTTTAAAAACTCCCGCCACCTGCTCAACCAGCCGAATGCAAAAACAAAACCACTTGTACGATTTGGTCGTTCGTGTTTGCCCGCGCCAGATTGAAGCATTTTCTTCGGGTTCTCATTGATTCATTGTGTTGTTAAAGTTTGTTGTGATTGCCACCGTAATTGCTTTGGTTCTGGTTTTACAACACTCGACAGAAAAGCCGCTGTAATGGGAAAGCCATCATGATGGCTGAAGAGAAAAAACCGAGTTGTATTCTTGGGATTAGACTGAAACTACACTAGCTTGCAATGGAGGTTGTTGCCGGGGGGTGCAATTATTAGAGCACTTTCGATATACTAAAATTCAGCTTGGCAGCGAGGCTTAGAGGACACAAAAAAAGGAAATTGAATGACCATGTTTATTCATTTCTTTTGTTTGTCGCCTCGGCCTCACTATCAAGCTGAATTTTCCCTCTTAGTCCATCAGCTGAGGTGGCTGTTTGGCTCACTAAGAAGAACAAACGAAACTTGTATATTCTTAAGCTTTGCCTTTGTAAATCGAATTTTAAATTTACCCCCAATACCCTCTTTTTGGTCGCCATCTTGGAATTCTAAAAACNGATGCATTTTCTTCGGGTTCTCATTGATTCATTGTGTTGTTAAAGTTTACTGTGATTGGCCACCGTAATTGCTTTGGTTTTGGTTTTGGTTTTACAACACTCGACAGAAAAGCCGCTGTAATGTGAAAACCATCATGATGGCTGAAGAGAATAAGCCGAGTTGTATTCTTGGGATTAGACTGAAACTACAATAGTTTGCAATGGAGGTTGTTGCCGGGGAATGCAATAATTAGAGCACTTTCGATATACTAAAATTCAGCTTGGCAGCGAGGCTTAGAGGACACAAAAAAAAGGAAATTGAATGACCATGTTTATTCATTTCTTTTGTTTGTCCCCTCTAGGCCTCAATATCAAGCTGAATTTTAATATGTGGAAAGTTGCTTTTTCCCTCTTAGTCCATCAGCTGAGCTGGCTGTTTGGCTCACTAAGAGGAACAAACGAAACTTGTATATTCTTAAGCTTTGGCTTGTATATTCTTAAGCTTCCACTTTGTAAATCGAATTTAAAATTTACCCCCAATACCCTCTTTTTGGTCGCCATCTTGGAATTCTAAAAACAAAAAAATTATAAATGATATTTTCTTATATGTTTCTTTTCTTAGAGGCACACGATATTTTGCCTGGATGTATATTTGGAATAATTAGTATCTTAAATC